GCTTTCTCTGGTTTAGGTATCAAAATAATATTTGTACCGTAAAAACAATCTGGTAGGACTTCTTCTTTATCTCTTTTTAAAAATAATTTGCATAGTATTGGAATTAATTGCTCCCTAAATGTTTTATAGAATTCACTTGTAATCCCTCTGGTTCTGGGGATTTTTTCTTCAGGAGCTCATTGATAGCTTGTTCAGTTTCTTTTTCTAAGGGTTATATGAGTATTCTATTTCCTCTTCTATTAATCTAGGCAGTTTATATTTTTATAAATATTCATCCATTTTACTTAGATTGTCAGTTTAACTGGCATATAATTGGGCAAAATAACTTCTAACAATTTCTTTAAATTTCATCTTTGTTAGTGGTGTCTTTACCCTTTTCATTTTTGATAGTAGTAATTTGTTTTTTTTTTTAATCAAATTAACCAATGGTTTACTTATTTTATTGTCTTTTTCCCTAAAATCAGCTCCTAGTTTTATTTATTAGTTCAATGGCTTTTTTAAACTTACAATTTTATCTCCTTTGATTTTTCAGGATTTCCATTTTGATATTTAATTGGGGATTTTTAATTTATTCTTCTTCTAGTCGTTGTCCCCCCTTATTTTTTTATGGTTGCATGCCCAATTCATTGATCTGCTTTTTCTCTCTTATATTAATGTACGTATTTAGAGATTTAAATTTTTCCTTAAGTAGTGCTTTGGTTAACAAATTTTGGAATGTTATCCCATTGTTATCATTCTCGTTAATGAAGCTATTTATTGTTGCTATGATTTGGTTCTTTGACCCACTCGTTCTTTAGGATTAGACTATTTAATTTCTAATTCACTTTTAGTCTATGATCCTTTTATTTAAACTCTGGAGTGTGTCTGTTTGAAGTGTGTTTCTTGTAAACAACATCATGTTAGATTCTGGTTTCTGATCCATTCTGCTATCTGCTTCCATTTTGTGGGTAAATTTGTCCCATTCACATTCATAGTTTTATTATTATTAACTGCATTTCCCTCCATCCTGTTTTCTTCTGTTTATAGTTCTCTTTTTTTATCTTGTCCCTCCTCTAAAGTCTGTTCTGCTTCTAACCATTGCCTTCTTTTCTCTGCCCTCCCTTTTGTCACCTCCCCCCTTTTCTTTTATCTCCTTCCCCTCCTTCTTCTGTGTTGAGTAAGATAGATTTCTATTACCAGTGAAGTATGTAGATACAGTTTTTCCTCATTGAACCAATTTGGATGTGAAGTTGAGGCATTGCCGCGACCCCCACCTCCCCATTTCCCCCTCCACTTTAAAAGCTCTTGCTTACATGCCTCTTTTATGGGAGATAATTTTCCTCATTCTTCTTCTCCCTTCCCCCTTCTCCCATGGCACCCCTCATTCTTTCCTATCCATTTGTTTTTACATTATCCCAACATAATCCACTCACTCCCACACCTGCTTTCTGTGTTGCCAAATAGCCTCTGGTCCTGTGTCTGGTGCTGGCACAAGGCTTTCCCGTAATCTCTTTCTGACCAGTTGCCAGGTCCCTTTATCATTTCTGGCTTGAGAGCTCCCAAAGCTCCTGCTGCTTCTGTCTCCACCACCTTGTCCCATGACTGCTGTTTCATCCATGTGGGCTGTGAGCCAGCCTCCTCCCCAGTGTCTCCCTTTCAGACCTCCTGTGTTGTCTTGAGCTAGAAGAATGTCTCACACTGACCTTTTGTTGGCTCTGCCACTTTAGAATTCTATTGGAGGCATTATCTTAAAGTTGTTTAGAGGGGAATGTTAAGAAGGCTCAGCTGAGAGTGCTTTCTCTACTCTGCTATCTTGCCTCCACCCCCAGAAGTCATCAGTAAACATTTATAAGCACCTGCTATGTGCCAGACATTATGCTTAATATTGGGGATACAAAGTGAAGTGAAAGATATTTCCTGCCCTCAAGGAGCTTACAATTTAATGGGGGTAGACAATAAGCAAACAATTATATACAAAGCAAAGTATAAACAGGAGAAATAGGAAATAATTAACAGGAGAAAGTCACTGAAATTAAAAGGGGTTGGGGAAGGCTTCCTGCAGAAGGTAGCCCTTTAGGAATGCCATCCCCTTTGTAAATCTTTGTGTCTTTGGCAGTAGCAAAGTGCCTCTTATGTATTGGTGAACACTTGTGCTTAATACAGGTTTGTTACGTTGAGTTAAAAATACCTCTGGTGATTTTTAAGGGATAATGTTGAAAAACTGAGCAGACAATTTGAGGATCAACACATGCATATAAATATACATACTTTATACATACACATACATGCATACATAGTCAACAGCAAGAATAAAGCATTTTTCAAGCATTGAGTAATCTCACTGAGGGATTTTGCCTGTTTCTGGCAAGGATCAGCTTCTTCCTCAGCATTGACTTGAATCAGCCCAACAGACATCTCTAAAGATACTCAACTGTTGATAACCTTTTGTAGACTATTTTTTTAATTAATTAATTTCTTTTTAGTTTTCAACAGTCACTTCCATAAACTTTTGAGTTTTAAATTTTCTCTGCTTCCCTCCCCACGACAGTGTGCGATCTGATATAGGCTATACATATGCACTCCTATTAAACATATTTTCACAGTAGTCATGTTGTAAAGAAGAATTAGAACCAATAGGAGGAACCACAAGAAAGAAGAAACAAAACACAACAAAAGAAAAAAGAAAAGAGCAAACAGTATGCTTCGATCTGCTTTCAAACCCCATACTTCTTTCTCTGGATGTGGATAGCATTTTCCATCGTGAGACTGTTGGAGATGTCTTAGATCCTTGCATTGCTGAGAAGAGTTAAGTCTATCAAAGTTAGTCATCGAACAACGCTGTTACGGTGTATAACATTCTCCTGGTTCTGCTTGCTTCACTCAGTGTCAGTCTATACAAGTCTTTCCAGGTTTTTCTGAAGTCTGCCTGCTCATCATTCTTTCTTTCTTTTTCTTTCTTTCTTTCTTTCTTTCTTTCTTTCTTTCTTTCTTTCTTT